TTAAATATTAACTGCATTCTAAATAAGTTTAATTTAATGATAATACACTATTCTATTTTTTAAAATTATTTCAAATGTCCTTTTTCTTATATAAATTTAGTTTTATTTCTTCGGAATAATGAATTTTAATATACCTGATGATCATGCAACAAGAAAGACAACAATGGGAAGAATCAAATCACATTTCAATATAACAAATAAAGGATTATTTTTGAAATTATTATTTAGCGATAATAATATAATTATTACTATTATATTGTATACAGCGATAATAATACATATGCATATTTATAATCAAAATTTTATATAAATAACACTAAAAACTTTAACAATTTTAAAATAGCATTAACTCAAGTGCCTCTTAAGTGATTTGGCAGCAGTAAATATTACTCTTGAAAACAAAATCTATTACCAATAAATATTTCTATTATTTTAGTGTTTACTAGTTAAAACTGAATTTAGAATTTGAAATATATATATATATATATATATATATATATATCTTTTTCCTGTTCAGTTACCTTGTCTGCCCGGCCTTTTGTAGGCCACATGAGGATTTTGTTAGCACGTCACCGCTATGAACAGATATAAAGCTGAATTCATCCATAATCTCTTAAAACTGATATTAATTTTATTTAATATATTTTATTCATTTTAGATATTTCATATTATATTTTATTGTGTTATTTCAAGTGAGTGTCACCAGTGGCGTAGGCATAGCTATTCTAAGATGTCCAATTGAATACCTTTCGTTAGAGATGTTAACGAATGACAAAAGTCATATATGAGTGGGTGGGCACATTAAAAAATTCGGACAATCCTCCTTCCTTCGAGCTAACTTTCGGGATGTAAGTTAAGCCTAAGGCCTAATTTTACATGGTATCAGAATGACCCGTCTCACTTGATGTTAGGTCCCTAAAATTAAAAATTACGTTATATATATCAAATTTTACATATAAAGAATATGTATTTAAAATTGAACAATTTTGATAAAAACTATGACTTTGGTGTGGTGATAACGAGAGTAAATTGAAAATTTCAAATTCAAATCCCAAATATCAAAGCCGCCCAAATTTTATAATTACATTTTATCAACAAGATAAAAAAATAAAAATACAACCATGATCTTTTTATGGATAATTATATTATCTCTGTCTAAATAATATAGTATCTAATTACCATTCTTACAAATATAGAAGGAATATATATATATATATATATATTAATATTATGTTTCAACAACTTTTAAGACGTGATGCTACTGGTACTAGTAAATGATTACTTTCATTATTTGACCTAATTTCTGAAACATTGTAAGCAGACGCGTTTATAGGTATATAATTTTATATACGTATATATTTAATAAATTTCTTAATATAAATATGCTATTTGAATAAAAATTACTATGTTCAATTAAATTTAATCAATCTATATTCGAACTTTTAACTCCGCCGTAAGGACATTGGAACCAATTAATGCTATGCAAATGTGAAAATGGATACCTTTATTATTATTATTATTTTTAGGTTGTGACCACACATATAGTACTGTTGGAAGTACCGATATGTCCAACATTTGAAGGCTTTGAAAATGACCAAACACCGACCCAAACACTGTAATCACTATTGAGCTGGCGGATCTGGCCTAGTCTTACCTCGTCTTGCATTTTTAATGTCTTGATCTTTACTTTTACTTCAAGTGATAAAAGAACCGCTTCCTTAAGCCTAAGTCAAACAATTCTACTCATTGAATAGGTGGAGTTGGATTTTTAGGATACAGATTTATGGAATTTAGTAATTTTGGGATGTGTTTGGTTAATAATATATACGTTTGGTTAATTAATTTATGTCTAAATGGTCAAAGTTTACACAAAATATGTAGACATAGTTTTTTTCTTTTTCTTTTTTGTATAAATATGTATAATATATGCATGCTTTTTAATATAAGTACGCACAATGTATATATTATGTACATATTTTATTTTATTTCCTTTTAAATAAAAATATACAAAATAACCGAAGGTTCAAAGGGAGTGAATTATTTTTACTTCTTGTTTTTATTTCTTTGAATAGCCGACTTGTGAGATTAAGAAATGAACACCCCAAATGAAAGCACGAAAAATAAGATTGAAACATGATGTTTTTATGGTTGGGATTCAATGTGGATCTTATGTTTAGTTCTCTTCTAGTCTTTTGAATCTTTATGACAAGTACAAATATAGAGTAATTAGATTCTATGTCTATACTCAATCTTTTTCTTTTGATACAAAGCCTTAACAACAATGTTTTTCTCTCTTATCTTTTCTATTTACACAGTAAAAATTAAGTAATACGATGCTTGTTATGATTCATATGAGTAGAGTAGAGAATGTGTGCTAATTTAGTTTCCGTGTATGAGAGTGAAGAGATAGCGGCAACCCAAGAGAACTGATTCTTGGAAAAAGGTAATTGGGAATCCTTCTTTCCAAGAACAAGACAAAGGCTAATCTTCAGCTTCCTTCTCGTAATCTTCTGCTTTCTTTTCTTGAGCGAGATTGATCTCTGGATTTACTCCTCAATGATTGTTTATCATTTCTCAAGATTTGTTGCCAGTTGTTATATAGTCGTTCTACACATCCTTTGATTGAAGATCTCTTAGTTATCGTTGTTTCTCCAGTTTTCTTGAGTGAGATCTCAATAGCCACGATTATAGGATTTCATTTCCACTAATTGTACCTCTCTTTTTCTTTTGCACCTATTTGATTCTTTCCTTTTGGATAATTTGATCTCCTGCGAGAAAACTATATTTCAGCTCAAAACTAGCCTTTCCATCAAACTCTTGTTTCAATTTTCTTGTACTAATAATAACAATATCGATATTGCTCACTAGCACATCCACAGAAAGATCCAAAGGGCCTAGGAAAAAGCCCAAAAGAGATAGACTGTTGATTAGTGGGCCTCAGAAATAATTCTGATTCAAAGCCCATTGAATCTTTTAGGAATTTCGGCTATCTTTCATGGCCTATGAGTTAAAATACAATATACATGGATACACAAGAAAAAATACATTAATTTTGTCTTCTACCTCGATTTTTAAAATTTTTTTATTATATAAAGCTCAAATCCACCTCTCAAATTGATTTAAATCTCCTACATATGTTAAAAACAAACTAAGATATTACCTAATCGGAACAAATCATAAATATGCATATAACCAAGTTTCAATGATCTTTAATAATTATCGTTTAATAATAGTTGTCAACTATTGACTTTGCACACTTCTAATTTAAGGTCCTTCTTTAAGTTTATTTTTCCGAAATACATTTGTTTTTTTATTACATATTTGTTTGTTTTAGTAGATAAAGTTACTTGTTCATGTTGTTGGTGAACTGTGATAGTATTAGTCAAGATACATGCATGTAAACCGACTCCACGTTATGGTTATTTCAAGAAATAAGAAATAAAACTTGGGAATTTAGCAACATTAACTTCTTGGTTAGATATTTGAGAGTTTAACAAAAAAATAAAAAATTAAATCTGAGTTAATGAATTTTGAGTAGCCAATCTGTTATTGTCAATGAAATGTTTGAATTTGTGCAGTTACCAACCAAAATTTTCAATTTAAATTATCCAACAAAGTCAATAAGAGTAAGTTAGGGTTTTTTAAAAATAAATGTCAATATCTCTATAAATTAACAATATTCCTAGACAATATCGATTTGAATCGGGAATAAATGTTGTTTAGATGTATTAGAAATAGTCTTGAAGAAGATCGTTAACGTTTAAAATTATTAAACGAAGAATTAAATTAATTTTAAATAAAATTTATAACGGAAAATCACATGAAAATTTCGTTTTTATTGATAGAGGCGTATTATACACATTTATATAAGATAACATATTTTATATGAAATAGATAAATATTATATAACAATCAATAAGGTTGTATAAATAATGTTACTTGGTATTTATTATGCTATTGTAATTGAAAAATATGACTATGGTGCAAAATATTACTCATATTGAGTTGTAATTTTTTTAATATTTTCCTATTAACCATGCACCATAGATCATCGAAGGACAAATTAAGACCTGAAGTTTGAATTCTTGAGTAAGAAGAGAAAAAATAGAATTTAATAAAAATTGATGTTAATAACCTTCTTGATCAAATGTTTTAATAATTATTTATTGTGAAATGTGTGTAGTAAATAACTTTTTTTTCCTAAAAAAATTAAATTTAAATTTCTTATGGAGAGTAGTCTTTTAAATTTAGCTATTTTATTTTTATTAGCAATAAAATGTGTTTAAAAGTAAAGAAACGATACATTTATTAGAACAATTATGTCTTTGACATATAACAATAGATATTTTAAAACCAAATTATGAGTCAAAGGGTGATTTTCGGAACCAAACTATTGAAAATAAAAATATTTTACGACCAAATTATTAATTAAAAGTATTTTTGTTCAATTTCATATAGCTTAAAAGTATCTTAATTCTTTTTAAAAAGACATGAAAGTAGGGTTATCAATCTTTTCATTTTGATTTTAAAGATTATCGTTTTATAGATATGTTAAATATTTAAGTAATAATTAAAATACTCATCAATTAATTACGAATTAATCATTAAAAACTTATATGACTTTTCTTAGCCCTTAAAAAATCACTGACAAATAACGTGATAGACAAAATCTAATAAAATATTTTTAAAATCACGAGGTAATTTAGGTTTAAAAGTCAAACTCCATCAAATTACCCATTTAAAATTATTAATAGTATACCTAGTAACAAACATAAATCAATAATTCATTATCAATAAATTAGTAGTAACATTTTTAACAAAAATTATCAATTTTAATTCGATTTCGAGAAAAACCTGAACTTATAATGACGTGGCTAAAATAGTGTCCACTAACCCTAGTTCTAATAATGAACTGGTTCTGGAATCTTCCACAGTTTTCTCGACTCTGTTAGTTTTTGCATTTTCCGGTCTTCTCCTGCACTTTTCCTTCTCTTTTTTTCTCCGCAAATTCATATACTGAAGCAATCTTCAAGAATCATTTTTCTTCAAAAACCCAAATTTCTCAAACTGAAGAAAAGGAAGAGAAACGAAGCAGTAGTAGAGAAGATGGGGGTTGATTATTACAAAGTATTGGGTGTTGATAAGAACGCTACAGATGATGATTTGAAGAAAGCTTATAGAAAACTTGCCATGAAATGGCATCCGGATAAGAACCCACAAAACAAAAAAGAAGCTGAAGCTAAGTTCAAACAGATCTCTGAAGCGTATGATGTATGTTTTCCAATTTTCCTTGTGGGTTTTTTGTTTAAAGTTTCAATCTTTATTCGTTTATAGTCTAATGGGGTTCTGAATCTTGGTTTAAATGCTGATTAATTTGAGGGTTTAGAATGTTTAGTGTTTATAATCTTGCAAAAAGAATGATCGGTTTTGTGTTTTCTTGGAACCTAATTTGTATGTTTTTGTTGATATGAACTTGTATAGGTTAACTTAATTGTTGGATTGCTTTGTTCTTAATCAATCACTTGTTTGAATTCTGAATTCACCAAGCAAATGATCTCATTCTTTTAGATCCGAACCATTTTTCATAATTTGGTAGTTTTGTGGAGGTTCGAATTGAATTTAGGGTTTATTGATTTTTAATTTGGTGTACGTTTGATGTGTTTGAATTGTGTAACTATCAATTATTACTGAAGAAAAGCACTTATATCACAAAATTTTATAGTTGAAAGGTGTAGGAAGAAAAGATTGAAAGATCACTAGTGATAGGTTTTATGTTTTTGTTGTTAAAAAAAATCACTTGTGATAGGAAACAGTTTTTCGCAGCTCGAAACTAGAGGCAGAACCCGGATATGAAGTTTATTAGTTTTGGATTCTAAATTTATATAATCTTTTACGTATTCGATGCATGTTTAAGAATAAATGCAATCTTTGAACCAAAGCTACAACTGGCACTGTCCTTGAAACATTATTGTGAAGTAGGGATTGATGTTTTCATTTGCAGCAAGTATCTGAACTGGCGAATCTGATTCCAATGATTTATCTTTACAGATTCTCTTTTATTGGTGTTATTATTAGATATTATATGACTTGAATGTTAAATAGATGACTATTGTGTTTCTGCATTATATTTACTAGGTGCTTAGCGACTCCCAGAAAAAAGCTGTGTATGACCAGTATGGTGAAGAAGGGCTCAAGGGCGGGGTACCACCACCTGGAGCTGGTGGTCCTGGTGCCGGTTCAACCTACTTTTCTACTGGGGATGGCCCTACTTCATTCAGATTCAACAGTAGAAATGCTGATGACATATTTGCTGAATTTTTTGGCTTTTCTACTCCATATGGACCTGGAGGGGGTAGGGGCTCAAGGTTTGGTAATATGTTCACTGATGATATATTCGCAGCATCCTTCGGTGAAGGAGGAGGAGGTGGTGGTGTTCCAATGCATTCATCAGTCCCAAGGAAAGAGGCTCCGGTACAACAGAACTTGCCTTGTAATCTTGAGGATCTCTACAAGGGTACCACCAAAAAGATGAAAATTTCTAGAGAAATTGCCGATTCGAGTGGGTAAGTATCAGGTTCTTACAATTCGTTTTACTGGTCAAGGTTAATCACTTCTTATGTTGACTTCAATTTTCTACTTAGAAAATTGCATTGGGCAAGTAATGGGGGTGTTCATACAGTCTGGTTAGTGTCTTGCCTTGCTTGTCCATCAAATGTGGAACTTCAATTGTCTTCTGGCAATGTTGCACTTTTGGATGAATGATTATTTGAAATTTCTGGGATTTGAACATGAGATCTCATGGCTCTCAACCACTTCATTGACCACTAGTCCATACCCTTGGGTGCCCTTTCTATTTCTTCGCAAGTGTCTGGAAAATATTGAGGATAATGGAATGCTTGGGGTAGTAGTTTTCTTATGTCATTAATTTTGAGAGATTTGAAAGATTAGGGTAGGCAGCCACTAATGCTTGCATTTGGGTAGGCTGTCTGCATCACACCCTTGTGGTGTGGCACTTCTCCAGACTTTGAATGGATGTGGGAGGCTTTGTGCGCTGGGCCGCTGAGGGTAAACCTGTTGATTATTCCCTTGTTAGTTGCGAATTGCTTTGATTTTCCTTTTAGAACATGAAGTCTTTGATAAGTTACTTGTGCCATTTTGTGACTATTTAGCCAGTCAAATCTTGTCTAGTTGAAATAAGAGTACTATCATGCATGATTACAGTTTGAGCTACGATCGATAAAGCCTAGATGTAGTGATATTGCATTTTAGGTCGAGTTGGGTCCTTCAAATTCATTTATATTGAAAGCTGTAAGTGAATATAACGTCTTTGAAATCTCTGTAAGGAAAATTTTGAGGTCAATTTCTTGAGAGTCTGAATACACATTGTTGTCTGTCAAGTGTCATTAAGTTGACTTATTTCCTGTGTCTTTGCACTAGTTATTTGTCGTATCAGGATGCATTTCCGATTTAATCATTTGCGCTCTGAATTCCATTTGAGGCTCTCATTTTAAGTGGTTGTTTCGCCAGTGGCTTTACTAGATTTACTCACATTGTGCTTTTGATATCTGTTTGTCTACTGAACTTATCCTGTATCCTTGTGTTGGGTGCA